GAGACACTAAGATGAAAAAATCAATATGATAAAAACGAAGGACGGGAGGTAAATGCAAAAAGTGTGTTTGGGAATTAATGGGCGGGTAGAAAAACATTCTGTTTAAAGCTACGACGAATGTTAGAGCTACAGTGTACGGAAAGAAAACAGAAACACATTGAGCTGCGACTAATTTAACTTTGTGAAAAAACTATTTCACTCCAAACCCTATTTTCAAATGAAGCATTTTGGAAAACTGTGTTTTGTAGCGTTTGACACATCATCAACACTTGCAGGTGTGACTCACAGCCTTTTATAGAACCCTGCTGTAGGCAGTTTCCAGTCAGTGCACAACTTTAATTGTCAACATGTCTTAGTAATTGTAGGTCGAACGGGTGTTTGACTCTGACACAACCAGCTAATATTACAAATCAGTACAATTCAACGAGCTCCAACGTTCTCCCTCCTCGCTGTTAGCAGTAGAATAAATTACCTGCCGGAGACTTTCACATTTCACTATCTCTCTGTTTTTCACATCATACCAATTCCGATTAGATATTATGCTCAGGTACGCTGTTAAGCTGCTGCTGTCTTAGTGTTTTTTTTGCTGCCCGGCTTGTGGGATTTATTCAGAACCAAGTTCAAGGCCGATACAGTTCACTTGAACTATTTGCCTTGAGCTTGTTTTGTAAGTTTTCGTAGATTCACAAGAGAGCACTCTGTTATTGAAAGAACCAGAATCCCCCTGGGTTCATTAGGAAATCACGTCTGACAGGTATTCAAGTTGAAATATAGAAATTATTCAACAATAATTGACCTCTCCTCAGAGACGGGATTAATGGATAACCTGCTGCTCTTTGCAGTTCTTTCTTTGCAGGATTCTCTGATTTGAACCGATGCTATTTCCTTCTCAAACAATGTCGACACCTCCATCTTGTTTCTGATAGTCTCTGTGTAGGCCTACTAGGGTGTGTGTCGGACTGGCCTACTAGGGTGTGTGTCGGACTGGCCTACTAGGGTGTGTGTCGGACTGGCCCCTTGGTGTGTGTCGGACTGGATACAGCAGAGTCTACTGGCCCCTGGGTGTGTGTCGGACTGGCCACAGCAGAGCCTACTGGCCCCTGGGTGTGTGTCGGACTGGCCCCTGGGTGTGTGTCGGACAGGCCACAGCATTGCCTACTGGACTCTGGGTGTGTGTATATATGTGGGTTGGCTGAGAGATTTATCTGCCATGTCAGACCATGATGATTAGCTCCAGAGAGAGAAGAGGGGAGGAAGAGCGAGGAAGACTAAGATGATTGTTCTTAATGCTTTAAAGGAAGAGGAGAAAAACACAGTTTAAGCAACACATTTAGTGCTGAAGCTGAAGTTATATAAAGAGTATTAATCGAAACCGACACAACTGCCAATTCTCTGGTGCATTGAAGGACACAGTGCATTTAACCCAGTTCCACTGCTTTTCAACAGCTGTGTGTGTCTACAGTATGTGTGTGTACAGAATGTGTGTGTGTACAGAATGTGTGTGTGTACAGAATGTGTGTGTGTACAGAATGTGTGTGTGTACAGAAAGTGTGTGTGTACAGAATGTGTGTGTGTGTGTACAGAATGTGTGTGTACAGTATGTATGTGTACAGAATATGTGTGTGTACAGTATGTGTAATGTGTATGTGCCTGGAATTGGGAAAGGTCAACGCGAAACACCTGGTAATGTGAAAGGTCAACGCTACACGCCTGGTAATGTGAAAGGTCAACATGACATGCCTGGTAATGTGAAAGGTCAACGCGACACGCCTGGTAATGTGACAGGTCAACACGACACGCCTGGTAATGTGAAAGGTCAACGCGACACGCCTGGTAATTGGAAAGGTCAACACGACCAGCGGGGTCATGGGAAAGGTTAAGCGAGGTGACATGGGCGAATTTGGGATGCCTGAACACCAGCGGGACTGAAAAGAGTTACAGGGACCTGATGGATTGATGATTTTTGTATGAAGATCGGTTCATTCCTATTATGATGTCAATAAATATCAATTTGTTTTGGTCAGCTGCCACCAGTACACATATACCAGTGTAGTATTGGTAAGGGAAGGTGCTGCTGGTACTTGTCGTTTTTACCAGTTGTTGGCCCTTGGGTCCCCAGCCGGCGTACTGCAGCTGGGCATTCCGCACTTCCGGAGGGTTCAAGTTCCATGTCTCCCTAGAACCGAGAGAAGCCCAGAATCAGAGCCCAGAATCAGAGCCCGAAATCACAACTGTTATTCCTATTGAAAATTCCCTCAACCTAACCGTAACCCTAAACCAAACACTAGCTCCAAAATCAAACCCTAATCCCAACAGTATCACCAGCTGTAACTTTTACTGTGAATCTAAACTAAGGCAGAAATGTTTCTTTGTGGAGACTGGCGAAACTCAAATTGTTCTTGTTTTACGATTGTACATAAACACACACACACACACACAGACACACACTGTTGCCCCACACTAAGTGACAGAGAAACTGCTGAAAACCTCTTACCCAGTTGACAACACACATTAGACACCAAGACAGACACACATTAATTTAAAGCAGATCCCCGGCGCTGACATCCACCCCAATGCTGTACATGGCAGTTTAAACACTTCAGGAGTGCCTATAAATACTGGTGCTTTATATATGGCTGCCACATTCGGCTCATTTAGAAAAGTGCTGTGTGCTGCAGGACAGAGAATTAGAGGTATCACTGGCCCTATGTCTTTGTCTGGGGGTGACGATGGATGAGCTGGTCAATTCCAGAAGACTGTAGTACACCGTGTTTCCTCTGGGTGGCAGCACTGAGACATGACTGACTCGGGGGTCAGCTACTTTTAGCTACTTACGGAGTCTCCAGGCTGCAGATGATGTAGAAGGCGGTGAAGGAGTATTGGTACACCTAGAAGAAGATTGAAAGAAGAATGAGGTACTTGGCCAGAAAAAACATGGGATGAAGAAAAGGGAGAAGAAGAAAACAAATAAGGGAATGACAAAGAGAGAGAGTCTGAAACAAGAGAGAGATGTCAGGAAAGAAGTGATAAGTTAGGATACGACAGTGAAAGAGGGGGACAGGGAGTGTGATGGGGGGAGAAAGAGAGGAGAGAATGAAACAGAAGAAAAAGAAGAAATGAAACAAGGGGTGAGAGAGGAGGGGGGTGTGTGTGTGTGGTACTTCTGTGAAAGGCATGCAGAACCATGACGTATATAAGGAGTGGTTTCCTGTGACAGCTGGGGGGCGGAGCTAGAAGCTGCTGAGGGACGAGTCTGGAGTAACAAATGCATGTCTCGCAACTTTTGTTGTAGTTGATACTGTTGCCTGATATATTTGGCTCTTTGGCTGAGTGGGCTTCTATCACTTGAAATATATGACCGAGTGGAGTTAGCTACCTGAACCATTAAATAGTAATGGTCCACCATATTTCTTATTGTGAGTCCCCTCCAGCTCTGTCAGATGATTATTAGCCCAAAACTCTTGTTCGCCCTGTTCTTGGATTTTAAATTCCGTTAATTTCTCCACTTTTATTGGGGATTTGTTGGTTTTTTTATACTTGAAGAGTACAGGTTCTCTCAGGATGTCCTCTCAGGTTGTTCTCTCAGGTTGTCCTCTCAGGTTGTTCTCTCAGGTTGTTCTCTCAGGTTGTCCTCTCAGGTTGTCCTCTCAGGTTGTTCTCTCAGGTTGTTCTCTCAGGTTGTCCTCTCAGGTTGTCCTCTCAGGTTGTCCTCTCAGGTTGTCCTCTCAGGTTGTTCTCTCAGGTTGTTCTCTCAGGTTGTCCTCTCAGGTTGTCCTCTCAGGTTGTCCTCTCAGGATGTCCTCTCTCTGCTGCAGCTGAACGGCGTTGGAGTGTGACGGGCCTTAGACACCATGATTACTTTTCTCCCCCACTGCCTCAGCACGTTTCCCCTCAGAGCCTGCTGACATATTTGCCTGTCATTCCGCTAATTCAAAAAACAAGCAAACAAATGAAGTAGCTCACCGGTGCCACATTGTAGGCTAGCAGCACATTTTTCATATCAGGGGACACGTCATACTTGCTGGCTTTGTACATTTCCTGAAAAGCAGAGAGAAAGACTTGGTTTTGTATTTCTTATTGATGTGTCGTTTTCTTTTTCATTAAAGTATTCTTTGATGATTGTATTCTGCATATAGATGAGAGATGCTTTAATCATGCCATCGCTCTTTTGGATTTCAACTCAACATTTTTAACTCTGACGCTACATTCCTGTTGAAACAATAATTGCGAGACGAACACAAATATTACCAGATAAACAATGTGGTTATGTACTAACTATAAAAGACAGTTTAACAAGCTACCAAATACTCAAAGACTTACAAAAACAAAATAAGATCATCCGAACCAAATTTACTCTTGAACACGCATATTTTACTTAATTAAAGTTTCATTTGAATGCAGTTTAGAATAAAACTGAAATACAAACTTTAAAAAAAGCAAGAATCTCAGTCTGCTCTTAAACTTATAATGACACATTTACTACACAAAAAACAGACTTGTTGGAGAGACTCACAAATTTTTTGTTGTGCACCAATACTGTCCTCTTGTATGTCTCCATGTTGACCACGACAACGTCGCCCTCCCGCGTCCGGTACAGGAGCTCATTACCTGTAGTACAGAATGTGAGATACATATGACATACTGGTAGCAACACGGCTGGTAAATGTGCAATATCTGTCCAATTGTTTGGACCCAGACAAGACTGGCAAACACAACATATCAGTAGACAAAGTGTTGGGATCCAAAAGAGACAGTTGGTCGAACTAGTGGTCCTGCTTGGAACCAGAACTGTTGACATGGAGCCTGAGCTCTTTCCTGACGTTTCAGTGAATCGAGGCGTCAGAAGGTTTGTCCCCAAAAGCGACTGGGAAACTATTGTGGCAGGTGTGGCTATTGTCAGGTTGTTGACATCTCTCTGAGAGGAAGGACAAGCACCACTATCAGAATGAGGTCACCTTACACCTCCTGTTTGAACTGGAAAAAATGATACATATTGTAGCATCCGACAGCAGGAATTCGAACCGGCGACCTCTGACTCCACAGCTGAGCGCACTACCGACTGCTCCAAATAGGGATACCCCATGTGGAGGGGAGAGTAGTGGCACCACCAGGGTCACTACAATATAATTAGGCTCTGCAGAATGAAGGAAGTTTCTAGTTGTTTGATTCGAGGGAGGTGAGACGTCCGTTTTCTTTATCGTACTGTTTCATTTATTGTTTTCCATTGTATTCAAGTTCATTTAAAAAGGGCCCACTACTCGTTTTAGTTAAAATGGTGTTCATTTGATATTTTACTGCAAGAAAATAAGACATTTGAAACGGGATTCTCTACTTTAGTGTCAGAAGTGGGATTTGCGGTGTGAATAATGTCTGACACTGGAGATACACTGTCTGTGTATGAGCTGTGATGTAGCACTCTGACACAATCCCACAAACACCCCTTTCAATGCCCCTCAACACACACACACACACACACACACACACACACACACACACACACACACAGAGAAACTAATCAAACTTTCTAACAATCTCCCAAGATGCCTGTAGTCACAAAGAACCTCTCCAGAGAGAGAGAGCTGACAACAGAAATAAAGAGATAAAGTTAATTTTGTTTTCTTGTCTTCACAATTGCTTTGCCCTTTCCCAGACAAGGACGATCACGAACAGGTTCTGAACGTTGTTCCAGTCATGAGCTGCGAGAGTCGAGTCAACAGCTCAGGATTAGTGTGTTAATCGGTTGCTACAGATTGTTGTGGGCGGAGCATTATCTGCTAGCATAACTAATTGTCCCTAAGAGGAGACAAAATGGCTACCATTACAATGACTTTCATTCAGGAAGTTGTTTTGTGTAAATGTAATCAACGGCTCTCTCTGCTGCTGGAATATTAATACGGAATATTAACAATATCGTAACAAGATTAAACATTTAAATAAATACTGCATTGCAGTGGCTTGTTTTATAAAGTGACGACAAGCTGTTATGATTAGATTCTTCCCTGAGCGTTCCAATATTCCTTTGACCTTGTTTGGCAGACATAAATGATCCTATTTGCATTTTTTACATATTCATTTGATGTTCATTGTTTCTGTTAAAATGACCTTCGGTGTTCACTGACCGGTAAACTGACAATTCACCAGAAATTGGATGATTTGTTTTCCAAAATCGGTTCACTGTGCGCCAGACATTAGCCTGTTGTCCCCAACCCGGGATTCCAGAATCTCATCTGGCTCACTCCTCCAGGAGTCTTCAGTCTTCCTGCTCCATCATCTGTCATCTCTGTTTTCTACAGTTCTGTAATCACTCATTCTCTCCAGAACAGTATGGGCTTCTCGTCCTGTCCTCCACATGCTGGCCCATAGCCCCAAGGTGATCACAGACTAGCATGGCCACAGAATGATCGCCAACTTCCAACTGTTTGTACAAAACGTGCAAAATAAGGACACATCAAACATCTAAATAAATAACATGGCGATATGTCTATGAACAAGAGGTCCAAATAAAAACAGACTAGATGCCTGTAGTATGGTCTTTTGTTATGCTGGCCTTAAATCAAGATATACACTACCTACTCTCAATGGAAGCAAATTTGTCAGGCATTGAATAATATTCAAACAATTCCAATAGCCTTTGATTAGGAAACATTGATGGACAGCAATATTTAAACCATGTCTCTGATTTTCAAGGCTAAACAGGAAACTCTCCACACCTCTTAAGAAACAATCTCATTTTTATTGTTGCCCGGTAGAATAGTAAAACCACAAGCAATACTTGAGTTGTGTAGTCTGCTAGCTATGTGTACTCTGCATTAACTAGGACCCTGGATACTTGAGAACTGTGGCCTTTGACCATAACCTTATTAGGTATTTCTTAGAGGCTGGTCACAAAGAAAATAGATGGAAGTGTAATTTATTTTGTTCGCAGTCATACTTAAGATAAAGTTTCACTGCCGTCATCATCTTGAATGCCAGCTCTGTCTTTCTACCAGACTTCCTGTCATGATTATCTCCCAAACACCTCAGGGTTTCTTCTCTTTAACTGAAACCCGCCTTCTTTTCATCCCTGTTTCAACAACACCACCCAGGTCTCTCCATCTCTCTCTCCGTCTCTCTCTCCATCTCCTTCTCCATCTCCTTCGCACTCCACTACCCTCCATCACAACTCCCTTCACTGGCTTTTCCCTAACCTTATAATCTCCCCCCTTTACGCCAGCACCATGTCTTATTCGCTCAGTCTTTCACTCAAGGGTAGGCAGCACTACAGATCACAGGAGTACAGGTGTGTGTGTGTGTGTGTGTGTCTGTGTGTGTGTGTGTGTGTGTGTGTCTGTGTGTGTGTGTGTGTGTGTGTGTGTGTGTGTGTGTGTGTGCGTGTGTGTGTCTGTGTGTGTGTGTTTGCAACAAGAGATGATCCATGTACCATTAGCTTTGAATATCATGGATGTTCTACATATTAATGTACATTTGCAATATTCCCTCTTAAACTTTTAAGCCTGCCATTATCTCAGACTATTACAATACCAGCCTCTCCTCTGAACACCATGGCTTAAATATGATAGTGTGGTTCATTCTAGTGCGTGCTTCATCAATGCTTCAGGGAAGTCACTCCCTACTCCAGCTGAAGTTGACAGCTTCACAGCTTCACTGTCTCACTGACTTTATGCACTCTCTCCATTGCATTTCTCTCTGCTGTTGCCCTCCTTTCTGCTGCTGGAGGGAGCTACAGCAGTCCATCCATCCATCCGTTCATCCACTCATTCATTCATTCAGGCTGTTCTAATTGGAGGGAGTGGAGCGCACCTCCCTCTCAGTCTTTCCATTGGAGCTGCAGCGTTCTGGCAATGGCACAGAGACCAGGTCATGTGGCGCTGTTTGCCCAGAGGGCCAACGCCGAACACGCCCCCCACCACACAATGCTATTCACCAGCCAGACACTGTCAGAATCCGTTTGGGGACATTCTGCTCTGCACTTCTGAGTCTGAAATCAAGTGATTGACCTACAAGGCAGAATGTTTTGGAACCCCTGAAGAGCTAAGCATAGAAAGGGAAAACGGGGGCTGTTATTAACAGCAGGGGGGATGCAATGAAATTGGCTGCTGAAAAAAATAACTTGTATATAATTAGATGGAAATAAGCTGTACAGGCAAAACAACTGCATACTGGCATCCTGAGCAACTGTGTAACAAGAGAATTGTTAAACTCAAAAATAGCACATTTATTAATGAGGCAACATTTTTTTGAAAGTGGAGGTTCTGGTTTTAATGGAGAATAGAGACAAAAAACTATGAAGCATTTTCCACTTGTCTACATCTTAACTCACATGTACTGGATAGGGTGTGCTAAAGCACTATAGACACGTTATAAACTTCTGCCAAGACCAGTATGTGGGGGATCTAGTTCAAAGTGTTTCTTTAGCATCTACTACAAAAGTGTTATTTGCCAATTTGTGATGGTAGGGATATTCTAATTCAACATGAAGCTTAAAAAATACCATGCTATAGCAACAATAAATATCCTGTTGTTGTTGTAAAAATAACTTATAACACTGTACTTAAATAAACACCATGCTATAGCAACCATACATATCCTGGTGTTGTTGTAAAAAAACGTATAATAATACTTTATTTGCAACCTTATAGGTCAACGGTCAAAGTCATTTAAATGTTCGTACTGTGTCCCACGTTACAGCCTTAAATCGCTATCTTATCTCGAATATTGTTGTCACCAGATATATATATCTCTTTTTTAGCGTTCAGTGTGATATTCATATCGAAATCATACACATGGGATATTGTAAGATATTTCTATACTGGTAAATGTTTCTATACACGTTAAAGAGTAAAATGTTCTTCCAATCAGACCGCTCACTTAAAAGGATTGCACCAAGCATGTTCTATTTATTACAAGGTCTTAATTCTCTACTAGGCTGTGCTGTTAACTACTGCCACATAGCTGCTGTATGTGTCAGTAAGATGAATGCACTAACTTTGAGTTGAGTCCTGGGGAAGAGTGTCTGCTAAAGGACTAAAATGTCAATGTAAAGTAGAATTCCCATTAAGTTTGCTTGAGTCTAGTACATAGTTTAATCAGTGCCCGAGAAACCAACTCGTAATGAGCAAATACCCTTGACACCAGTCTGGGGTCACTTCCACGTGCGTTGGACTGCTGGGCATATTATACCGTAGCATACTATTTCCTAGTAACTGATTTGAACTGATGGACGTTGTCAAGAAAAAGGACAAGATTAACGGATCACTTTATCTTTTCAGGCTATTATACACTGATGAGCCGAAACATAATGACCTCTCCCATGTGAAGCAGGTGATCATCCTAACAAGGGCAGATGTCAAGGTCTGGTAATAAGTGAATCATCAGTTTGATTACGGGTCAGAGTAAAGACATGAGTAACTTTGACATGGCAGCAGCACAGAGCATCTCTGAAGGATCAAAGCAGAACTTCAGGATCTCCTGCTAATGTTGTGGTGCCAGATACCACAGGACACCTTCAGGGCTCTTGTAGAGTCCATGCCTTGTGGGTCGGCAATGCTAGGTCCTCCATTTAATAATTTTTATCAAAATGTGCTAAAGGAAATGGCAATCAATCAATCAATCGGATTTTATAAAGCCAGTTTTACAACAAAGTTGTCAAAAAGTGCTTTTACAAACACCCAGCCTGAACCTGACAGAGCACGCATCAACAAGTTGATACAAATTTTTAGGAAAAAAAACCCGGAAGTGAGAATTTTGGAAGAAACCTAGAGAGGAACCAGGCTCTGAGGGGTGGCCAGTCCTCTTCTGGCTGTGCTAGGTAAACTTATAATAGAAATCACAGATCATATCTCATGTACTGCTAACATACCAATGATTTCAGTCTAGTTTGCGCTTCCCTGGTTTTGAAGAGATTAAAAAATCATCACAAAACAATGAAATTATTCTCAGTGTTAGGCTGGTATTTAATCATTAACTCATCAGAATATTCATTCCGTTACATAATTAAGTAGGAGCTGGATTTTTTCAGAGCTTCCTCTTCCTTGTCACATTTCGTAGAAAACAGCAGATGTTCTCTGACTTGCC